CTTTCCAGATTGTTCACTGATAAAATTACTCTTTGTAACTCATGTTAGCTGATATTTTTAATGGATCTCTGGGGTGAATCATTAAAAGACAGCCTTAGCTACATGAGCTCTCTGTTAGTTCTCTATCTAGGCTGGTTATTATAAGAATGGCCCAAGAAAGGGAGAATATGTAAGAAAAATAATAAAATTCCTTATGCTTGAATTTTAATTTCTGTGGTTTTAGTTTCACCATTATTTACCCTTATCTTTTAAAAGTTGGTTTTGTTAGTTGCAGCCATTTTTTATTCATATTAATATTGTTTTTTGGAGGAGGTGAAAAGAAAGTCAATACTGGGCATCTCATTTACTGACAGCAGTTTAAAAGTATTATGCAAGTCACTTTAGCATTTTATTACATACTCCTGAAAATAAAAAATATAAATGGCTAAGCCCCATAAATGACTGCTGTTACTGCATTTTATGACTGCAGAGGGCAAGTGAGGAGTGTTTTAAATATGACCCTGCTGTTTTCTTATGTGGTGTTACATTAATTCCGTCTGACCTATATTTGTGCATCTCAGGATTTGGTTTCCTTTTTTACTTGTCTTAAGCACTGTGCTAGGCTTTAGTTTTATCTGTCACTGCACCAAGGTCGTTCTCATCCCGTCAGCCTTTCCCATTGTACCTGAAACTGTGTTTCCATACATTCCCAATTGCATTGCTTCCTTTTTTTTTTTTTTTAAATACCTATAATTTTCTTTCTGGTTTTCATCTGGACACAGATCTTTTTTTAAATGCTTCTGTCTCTTGTATTAATTACTTTAAAATTCAATGGACAGAGCCTACAGACTGCCTTATTTCTTCAGGCATATAAATGCACTTGATCTACAGAGTAGGCTTTATGCTGTACTGTGTAACTTTTATATGCACTAATCTACACTTTTATCCTGTTTTTCTATTATGTTATAAATTGCTTGAAAAAAAACATGACAACTGAACAAATTAGCAGTGCCCTTAAAATATGAGAATATAATATTTTATATTACCTTGTTATGTGTTGGTTTGGGCTCTAATACTAAAAACTGATTGCTGTTGTTAAACAACCTTGTTTCCTAACCAGTTTGTAAAGCACCTTAATTTCCTCTAAGTGAAGAAATTAATTGCTACCAGATTTATCTTACTATATGATCTTATGATCTTTGCTTTGCTCAGTGAATGGGGGATCTTGGTCTGGTGACACTCCTAGGCGTAATAGCCATACCTTTAATTGTCGGATGCTGGTAAAACCTGTTGCTGATTCTGAAGAAGGCCATGATAACCAGGAAGCACATCAGAAATACGAAACTATGCAGTGCTTTGCTGTTTCTCAACCAAATTCCTTCAAGGAGGATGGTGAAGGTAATTACCACTTTCATTCTTTCCATGCTGATGAGGGACAGCAGTTTCACTGCAGGTGATAAAGTGTGGTCAGCTTGATAAAGTGGCTTCTAAATAATGAAAAAGGTAAAATCTGTAAGCTGTTTGCTTTTTCATTTATCTATAGCAGTGCACTTTCATCTTGAATTATGAGTCTAGACACTTGCATGCACCTACCTTAAAGAGATATCCCAGTTTTGTATCACCGCAGTTGTAAGAAGAATGTAGCTGACTGGGAGGAAAGTTTCAATGGGCAATTTTTTGAGTTCTTAGTATTTGAAGACAGTTGTGGTTCACCATTTCCTTTACTCTTTACTACTTCAGCAGGTAAATTTCCTCAGATTGTATTGTAAGTATTCAGATAAGTAAAAATGGCTTATTATGAAGCTGTTTTCTTAGAGGCAGCAAGCAGTTGGGGCATGTTTAAGAAATATGGCTTAGAAGGTACAAAATGGTGAGTTCTGAAGAAGTGTGTTCTCTGTGCATGTCATATATTGTCTTTTATTACTTGTATCCTGGGTGTTTGAGCTGCTATAGGGCTATGTGTGTCAATAATTATGAGTTGTGGTGGAGTCCTTGATGATTTTTCTTGTAAAAAAGAAAAGAAACCCACCCCTCCCATGTGGTTTAATATTGCAGGAAATAATGAAGTTGTAAAACCACTGAGTTGAATCTGTCCTTTTATTAATGCAAAATCTACTCTTTGGGTCCAAAATTATTTAAAGAACTTTTTAAAAATACTTCTCAATTATTTGTGAAAACAAAATTTTCCTCTTTTGCACAGATTACTGAAATAACATTTTTCTTTAAGATTTGCAGTCTTGCTTGATTTGTGTTGCAAGAAGAGCTCCAATGAAGGAAAGGCCCCTTCTTCCTTCATCTGAGAGCTTTACTACTCGCCAGGATCTACAAGGTATTGTGAAATAGGAGTTTTTAATTTCTTCCTCCCTCCCCCCTCAAAAGGGGAAATTGCTGTAACAAACATTTTATCTGAAATCAGGCAAAATAACTTCACTGGACACGAGTACCATGCGAGCAGCTATGAAACCTGGCTGGGAGGATTTGGTGAGAAGATGCATTCAGAGGTTCCATTCACAACACGAGGGAGAAATATCCTTTGCCAAGAGGCATCACCAGGAAGGTTAGGTTTAATCTTTTTAGCACTTTCTATATTTAAACTGTTTGTTATTTCTCTTGATTTGGTTCTCTTTATTTACATGGAACAATCAGGGACTACTAGCAGTCCCTTTTTCTTTCAATCTGATTTGCCTAACACACACTGGCTCTCCAGAGGGGTTTTGTACCTTCTTCCCTGTTTGGTTTAGCCTACTTGTTATATCTGTGACATACTGGAGGGTGCTTTAAATCTTCAATTTGTCAGAATTATTTGAAAAAGACAGACCCTTGCATGTTTCCTACCAAAACATTCACTACCCATTATTCTTCAGAACCTCAGCTCTCACATTGTAGATAATGGACCTCTATTCATTTTCTCTACAAAAATGGATTTTTTAACTGTCACGTTTTCTGTGAGAAACACTCTGTGTGAATTATCAAAGATGCAGCACTCATGCTATGTGGAAACCTACATTGTTGTAGTGTATCAGATAAGTGTGAGAGGGTATACCAAAAGCACCCCTACTCAGTCAAGAAATATGGTGGGTAAGATGCAGGAGAGCACTGGATTGTGAAATGTTCCCCATGAGGTTTCTGTGGTAGTGACTGAGTCAGGATTTTTCTTTTCATAAACCCCTAATACTGCTAATACTAGTAACACAGAACCAAATTGCTAAATACAACCCCTTATAGGCCACAGGGAAGTCCTTCCAAAACCAATCGGGAATAACTAGAACATTTCCAGTGAAGGAGCATCATTCTTTGGGTTCATGTTTATCGAAGGGGACTTACAGCTGGCCTGTAACAAATAGTTGCCATGGTCATTAAACAATTGGCATACTGTTTTGGAAATACCAACAGGAATCTCAGATTATTCAATCAAATACTCTGTAATATGTTCTGCTTTCATGAAACCTTCAACTTTCATGTTGGGAATATGGGGCACAGAAGTGCTGTGACCCTTTATATTAACAGCTTTTGAGGTACATGCAGTAGGAGTGCTAAAGGTTCACAGCCTTACAGTGGGATTTCAGAGAGAGCTGAAGGAGGCAGTACACAATTAAAGTTACAGCAGGAGTTTAGAGAGCAGTTTCAGCACCTGTCTCTGCCAAAGGAGATTTTAGGACTTGCTGTTAAAGCATCCAGCCACTTGTTTCTTCAGTCCTCTTCAAACGATGACCAAATTAGCAGCTCCTACATCCAGTGCTGAGATTTGAGTGAGGCCTCTCTAAGCTGTCTTGTGAAGTGATAAAAATATGTCTTTTTAAGTTTCCACTGCATCATTTTGCAGGAGTGGCCTAGGATCGTCATACAAACTGTAGAATTAGTCTTAAGTGGGGGGACTCTTTACTTGTTGTGGAATTTAAGAGAGTGAGTGATAAGAGGAGGAGGAAAAACCTCTGGAATTGCTTTCCTGCAAGGGATCCAGCACTAGAGAGGAGTGATGGCTGATAAGTTTCCTTCCCCTCCCTGCAGCATGGAGAAGAAAGAAAATTCCTATCTTGGCCATTAGCAACTTTGCACTTGACTGAAGAACCTCCTGCATTGTTAAGTCATTCTGAGATTAGAAGCAAATAAAGTAATGGTCTCCTACATGTAATTCAGTGTTAGAGTGAAAAAAAAAAATAAAATTGCAGCATGAGCTTGATAAACAACAAAATCCACAAAGATTTCAGATTAACTCTCAGTATAAAGTTCAAAATATATGGTAAGTTTTTATTGGCCATAGTCAGAAAAATAGCATTTCCTCAAAAGGAATACGGAAACATTCTTGTTTGCTTTAAGAATTAGTTTGGAAAATGATTTAAGTAGAGATTTCACTTGTATCCTGTTGGCATTGAGTACTGGAATTTCCTGATGTGGTATATGCTAAAGTTAAGAGCTTTGGACCTTCTGGTGCCCAAAGGTTAAACTGAAACAATGACATACCTAACAGTGAAATTTTGCTTGGTATTGTTTCACAGTTGTGTGTTTTTGTTTTTCTTTACATTTTTACTCTGAAAACCCCCTTCTGGTTGTTTAAATTGTGCTTCCTGTTTTCTCACTGCCTAAATAATACTTTCAAACCTTGCAGAACAATATATAACGGTGGGGGGGGACAGGGAAGGAAGGCAATCCTGCAAGGCTGAAAATCTGGTAGCTCTGTAGAGGAGCCTATTTAATAAAGCCACAGTCAGAAAACCATGTCATTTCATTACCACAGGAAATATTATAAGACAAGCAATGAAATGAAGATCAGATGATACTATTAATTTTTATTAAAAAAAGAAAGAAAACCAAAACCACAGAAAATGTCTGTGTATAAAAAAGGAGAAAGTTAAAAGTATTTGTATTGTTTCATTCCTAATTTTTCCCTAAACAATTATATGACAATTCTGAAGTTAAATAATTCCCTCCTGCCGTATCTGCAATCCTCATGTGATAGCTTTTGAACAAGGAATTGGAAATCATCAGACTGTTTTCATTAATGGCAAAAAGAGAACAGTAGAATAAATATTTGGAGATCTGATTTTCCCCAACGTGATTTTTGTTTTAAAATAAAGAAATGTTGCAGAAGTTAGAGAACTGAATTTGTTGAAGTACAGATTTACACTGAAAACTTAAGGGCTGCAGAATATGTGCCACAAACCTGAAATGCAGTCGTACCTAACACGGGGGAAGGATAACACAGCCCTGGTTTTGGCTTAGGTAATTATATTTGTAATTTGTTTGAGCTGTATTTTTTTGTATTTGTTCTTTTAAAAGTAATTATTATTTTTTTTTCCCTGTTCATATTTCTAATTGTTCCCATGTAAGAGGTTTATGTACTTTTTCAATTAAAGAAGTAGTGAGAGTAACTGGTAGAAAATACTTTAAGCAGGAAATAAGGAGGAAAAGATACAGGCTAAAGGAAACAGATGATCTAGAAACTGAAGGCATTTGTATTAATCATTGTGATGTAGATTATACAGATGGAAAAATGTACGAACAACAAAAGTAATTAGACACATATTTGATGAAAAGCTAAATGGACAGTGAGAGCTTCCTGGTCCACTCCTGAAATACTCTGTATTTTATAGTATCTGTCCTGTTATTGCTGTCACTGCTTGTAGGTTTTCTTTTGACCATGTGGAATCCTTTTTATTTTCTATTCATCTCATCTATTTTAATTTTTTTTAATCGACAGTGTCTGTGGTATCAGTTAGGACAGCAGACGTGGAGCTACCATGCTACCTCGTCTGTAGTTTGTGATTAATTTTAATTCTGTTCTTTGCTTGCTTGCAGTGCTGAGGCAGGGACTTGCCTTCAGTCCTGTCTATCGGTTTTCCTTGTCTGATGGCACTATCGTTTCTGCCCAAACGAAGAGCAAGCTCATCCGTTCTCAGACAACTAGTGAACCTCAGCTTGTAATCTCCTTGCATATGCTTCACAGGTAATTCTGGCCAGTTTGTATATCCACATACTGAGAGACAAGGAAAATACAAAGGTACCTTGCCAAAGCAAATAAATTGTTTAAGGCTGGTGGACAATCAGTTGGCCTAGAACTGATAGCATGAAAACAAAGTGAGTTTTGAAATCAATGCTTACAGCAGGAAAAGACTAAGATTATTTCAGGATTTACAAATGCCATGCTGGATTTTCACATCAAGATCTTCCATTAAACATACAGAATTTCCTTTAATCTCATGTTCTTAATTTCAGTATTTTCATTTCCCGTGTTTTGCGTAGTAGACAAATAATATTTCTAAATGTAATTAAATCTAGAAAACATTGAAGGATTAAATTCCTGTTGTTCAGTCAGTCATATGTTGGGCGTCTTTAAATAATATATTATGAATATTAAAACTGCATTTTAGGCAAACTGCATATTTTAACTTCTTATCTCTGTTCATTCCTCGTCTTCTCTGGTGCTTGCACTAGTGGCTTTCACCTGTCCAATCCTGAGAAATGTCACCACTATTCATTTTTTTTAAAAGAGGCATAGGCAGTAACATCTTAAAGTTGAGGATAAGTAATCACTGACCTCATAACTTCAATGTAAAATCTGAATTAAGCTATTGCATGTCCTGGTATATTTGTGTCAGATTTTGTTTCAGATTTTAGTTGCTGGTAATAATGAAAATTTGTCTCCCTGTATCCACAGTATCACTTTTTTAAGGGGAAGAGAATAGCTCTAAATGTAATTAAAACTGAAAACATTTTGCAGAGACTGTAGATTTGGAAACTGATCTGACCAACAGCTGTCTGAAATTTGTTTTCCTTGGATTGCTGAAGATAGTTAGTATTTTATGAAGTGCTAAATTTTACATTTTAAAAAGAACCATTAAGTTAAAAATTGTATTTGCAAATATTCTTGCGTTTTTAGCAGAACAATGGTACTATTCTGTTTGTAATAAGATTTTTTAAATCTACCTCTCTTTTTGTAATTAATGTTGTTCACCTTTGCCTTTATACCCAAGGTAACAAATGTAGAGTAACAATCTTCACTGCCCTGTGTGCTTCAGCTCTTCCACTTTTTTTGCTTTTGCAAAACAAAAAGGTTTAGCTGTACTTACCCTGTACAAGTAGGAATGTTTTTTGTCTCATCAAAAATACATACTAGGAATGTTCTATTAGTATGTGGTTTTGGAAGTCCAGACTTGATTTGATTTTTTTTTCAGAGCATCATTTTTTTTTCTTTCTAATCTACTTGACTCTGTGTCTTTTATAGCTTTTAGCATTTGGGAATATGTCTGATTTTTCTGATTTAAGTTTAAATACAGAAGTAAAAAGTTTATTGCATCCTCCCATAAACTGTTTAAAATCTACTGAGGAAAAGAGAAGTGACTTTCAGGTGCTCTCATGAAAGCTTTTTCTGTGTGCATATGTTTGTGTGTGTCTCCCTGTCTTCTCTTTTCTCCATCTTAGAGCCTACATCTCTAAATTACAAGTTTCAACCCCCATGTGTGTGGGCTTTTTCTTTCTTTTCTTTTCCTACATGTTGGTGGGGGACTGGATTGCTAACAGGCTGTTCCCATTCTGCAGTAGTATCCAGTAGTTCTGTTAGCTCACATGGTGGTTTGGAGCAGTATCTAAATACTCTGGCAGCGTAGAAATGTGACTTTTTCAACTTTCTTTTCACTATGAACTCTGTGGGCAAATAGCCCACTCCAGCCTTGTGGTGGGCCTAACTCACAGAAATCCAAAACTCCAGCAAACAGCTGTCCACAGCTGTCTTGTGAAGCATGTATTTGTTTGGCTCATGTGTTTCAGATGAGCTTTCTGTCAGTTCTAGAACTTAGCTCTCGCCAAATTGTAAAGAAGAGATATGCATTAAAGGGAGAGGGACTGAAATGGTAACCTATCTGCATTTCTAATGAATGCCATTTAAATGAGGTATAATTTTGCTTTTCCTCTCTTCCACTGATTTGTTAATGAGGTACTGAAAAACCACACTGTCAGTGTGCAGCCATGTTGCGAGCTGCATATCACTTTTGTCAAATTGTCAATTTGTTTCTAATTGTAGGTTTGTTGTGTTATTTTCAAGTGAGGTTTGAGGTTTTGCTTCTTTTTCTGTAATGTAATTGCAAGTTGGCCACTGTCATTTTAGCTAATAGGTTGTTTTTCTTCCCTTTGCCACATAGAGAGCAGAATGTCTGTGGAATGAATCAGGATTTGACTGGACAAGGAATGGGGAAGATATTGAACCCACTTAGCTCCAGCAGCCCTGCCCATCAGGCCATGTGCAGTGGGAACCCAGGTCAGGATATGACCATCAGTAGCAATATAAATTTTGCCATAAATGGCCCAAAGGAACAAATGGGCATGCCAGCAGGCAGGTTTGGTGGTTCAGGGGGAATGAACCATGTGTCAAGCATACAAGCATCCACTCCTCAGGGTAGCAACTATGCACTAAAAATGAATAGCCCCTCACAAAGCAGCCCAGGCATGAACCCAGGGCAGCCAAACTCTATGCTTTCCCCAAGGCATCGTGTGAGCCCTGGAGTGGCAGGAAGCCCACGCATCCCACCCAGTCAGTTCTCCCCGGCAGGAAGCTTGCATTCGCCGGTGGGAGTCTGCAGCAGCACAGGAAATAGCCATAACTACACCAACAGTTCCCTGAATGCACTTCAGGCCCTCAGCGAGGGCCACGGCGTTTCTCTAGGATCGTCGTTGGCTTCACCTGACCTAAAAATGGGAAATTTACAAAATTCCCCTGTGAGTCTGAACCTTCCCCAGCTGAGCAAGATAGGAAGCCTGGACTCTAAAGACTGCTTTGGACCATATGGGGAGCAATCTGAAGGTACAACTGGACAAGCAGAGAGCAGCTGCCATTCAGGAGAACAGAAAGATAGTAGCGATAGCAACATGCCACCAGTTGTCGGTGGTGAGAAACCTGATGGACAGAATAAACTGCACGATGGAAAAAGCCAGACAAAGCTCTTACAATTGCTGACCACCAAATCGGATCAGATGGAGCCTTCGCCTTTGTCCAGCACCATGGGAGACGTTAGCAAGGACTCCACGGGAGGGTTGCCTGGGTCTGGTTCGGCACATGGAACCTCGCTCAAGGAGAAGCATAAAATTTTGCACAGACTATTGCAGGACAGTAGTTCTCCTGTAGATTTGGCCAAGCTCACAGCAGAGGCCACAGGCAAAGAACTGAACCAGGAGTCCAGTAGCACAGCTCCTGGTTCAGAGGTGACTGTTAAACAGGAGCCAGCGAGTCCTAAGAAGAATAATAATGCACTACTTCGCTACTTGCTAGATAAAGATGATACTAAAGATATTGGTTTACCAGACATGCCCCCAAAACTGGAGCGGTTGGACAGTAAGACAGACCCTTCCGGTAGCACAAAGTTAATAGCTGTGAGGACAGAAAAAGACGAGATAAGCTTTGAGCCTAACGAACAGGTAAGCAAATCTTTGCATTATATGTGAATTAGATGTTCTAGGCCTGC